ACCTTTTAAGTACTTGTCAGGGTCTGACAGCAACCCCCACACGGATCACTCTAGCCCTAGTCTCTCCAGTCCAGTCCCTCTGATTCCAGAACCACGCAAATGTTCCCAGAGCACAGCTCCCACCTCATCAACATAGGTCTAAGTCCTCTGCTGTAATGAATGGCTTTCCCTTGCCTATAAAGGAACTGCACTGCCCCCGTCTGGCAGATGCCAACTACCACACCCTCTGCACCATGAGCTCACCGCAGCTGTCACTCACTGACACTCCCAGCGAGTCAGGCCAAATTCGTGTTTCCTACAAAGAACCCTTCCTTCCTGCCTCCCTACTTCTGCCCAGGCTGTGCTCTCCAGCTCCTTTCCCATCTCCCAGCTGGGAACTACAAGGACAGTAGGATTGAATGTGCAGGGAAAGGAAGGACCACCTGGGAGGCAGTTCAGAGCAGATGCCTCCACACACTCCGAGTCGGTTTGGGATAAAGTGGCCTAGAGAACAGGGCAGAAGGATTCTGAGCACTTCCAAAGGCGGATCACCTAAAACGCGGGCATTGTTGAACCTCTGTGCCGAGACCTGGCGGCCTGGAGTTCTGGGGGTGGGGGCACGAACAAATGACCCGACCCCATATATGGGCGTGGAACCAGTTCTCCGAGTCTTGGGCTCTGCAACTCTCTGAGACTCAGATTCTTTGTCCAAACGATCAGAGCTGGAGCACACCGAGACCCCACCCGCCAGTTCCTCCGATTGCTCAAGGGCTTCAGGCAGTACCCTCACATACCTAGCTCGAGTACTTTGGCGTCTCCGCGGGGTGTGCGGGTCGTCCGTATCCAGCAGGCGCCGCAGCAGCGTACGCGTCGTAGGCTCGCTGTCAGAGATGTAGCTACCCGCCATCGCTACAGAGGTCCGCTTCCCAAATGCTCTGGTGGCGGCGACGGCCGACTTCCCGCCGTCGCATTTAAGCCTACTCTCGCGAGGCTTCCGCACAGCCCCACGGGAATTGCAGTTGTAGCTCTACCTCCTAGTGGCCGGGGCGTGGACAAAGGTGATTCCAAACGCTGAATTTGGAGGTGGTTTTACCAGGGAGTGAGCCTAGGTAAATGTGTGCAAACAGTCGAAGCTTGGTTTCCTTTTCGGTAAATTGAGTATGATAGCCACCCAATAACAGGCTTGTAATGAGTCAATGAGATGTTTAACTCAGGATTTGATACATATGAAGTCAGGCCGTCAATAAATGGTGGTCGCTTTTTAAAATAAAATCTATAGCCCTGGCTGGTGTAGCTCAGTGGATTGAGCACGGGCCTGTGAAGCAAAGGGTTGTTGGTTCGATTTTCAGTCAGGGCACATGCCTGGGTTGCAGGCCAGGTCCCCAGTAGGGGACACATGAAAGGCAACCACATTGATGTTTCTCACCCACTCTTTCTCCTTCCCTTCCCCTCTCTAAAAACAAATAAATAAAACAAAACCTATTATTTTTTTATAAACTTCTTTTGAAGGTTTTATTTACTTTTAGAGAGAGGGGAAGGGAGAGAGAAACATCAATGTGTGAGAGAGAGAGACATTGATGGGTTGCCTCTCATAGGTCCCCAGCCCGAACCGAACTGCAACCTAGGCATATATGCCAGGAATCAAAGCAGGGACCTTTTGGTTTGCAGGATGATTCCCAACCACCTGAGCCACAAAGGTCAGGGCTTACTTTATTATTTTTTTTATTGTTGGCACTATTACAGATGTCCCCGATTCCTCCTCCCCCATCTTTGTCCCCCTCTCTATCCCCCTTGATAATCACTATTAATGCCTCTCATTCCCTTCTGGCTCTCTGAAGGTGAAAAAACTCGCTTGGGGGAGGGAAAAATAATCTTATCCTACAGGTAATTTGGCCAGATTCGCAGTTGTGTAGACCACTGTGTAGGCTTGTTATCAAGAGACCAGTTTGCAAGGCCTGGAGGCTAGTGGGCTGTGTGTGATTCATCAGAATAAGTGCAATTTTGAGATGAATTCCCCTCTCAAAAGTTGTGTTAATGCTGGAGACTCTATTGCCATATTTTTCACCAACTGACGCCCCCTCCCACCTTAAATGTTCGTGGGATCTGATGTAGAATTTGAGTTCTGAGCCTCCCAACATGTTCTCTTTTTTGCTCTAAAATCAGGTGTAATCGAGTTACTTGAATATTCATGGACATATTTTGCTTGAGTTAAAAAATAAGGCAAAGAAAAAAAATTAGATTCTAGCCCTGACCAGGTAGCTCAGTTGGTTAGAGCATCCCAATACACCAAGATTTGAAGTTCCACCCCCCCGAGTCAGGGCACATACATCAACCAATGAATACATAAATAAGTGGAACTACAAATCGGTGTTTCTCTCTTCCATCCTCTCCCTGTCTATGAAATTAAATCAATAAAAAAATTAGATTTTTGCTTCTCAAAGTAAGAGAATTGCAGAGAAAAAGCACATCAATATTTCATTTTTTAAAGATTGTATTTATTTTTAGAGAAAGGGGAGGGGAGGGAGAAGGAGACAGCGAGATACATCAATGTGTGGTCGCCTCTTGCACACCTGCAACTGGAGACCTGGTCCACAACCCAGGCATAAGCCCTGACTGGGAATCGACGCCCCCAGCACTCAATCCACTGAGCCACTCAGTATTTCTTGTCATTGAGATCTGACCTCTGTGTTATCTCACTGAAGTTGCTAGCCCTTTGCAGGCACATTTCCATGGTCACCATGGAAATAATTTACTTATTTTTTTCTATTTACTTATTTATTGTAAAGCCTTGAACTAGATAAGATGAAGAAAAAAATCTTTCAAACAATTTGAGACATGGACTGAAGTTACTTTTTGCACAGGATTATTCCATGCATCTACATAATTGATTAAACTTTATTTTTATTACTTGTTTAAAAAAAAATACTGGGCTCATGAAATGTGGCAAGGAGGAGTAAGAGATTGCCAAGGGCCAGACCGTGTAAGGTCTCATGGGCTCTGGAAAGAACTTTGGACATTACTATAAATGCAATAGGCCACTGGCAAGATTTAAACAGAGATTACATAATCATATTTTCTTTGGCAGCCACATAGACAAAAATGTGGGAGAGGCAAGACTGGAAGTAGGGAGACCGGTGACAGGTTTTTCCCTTTCTCAGAGGTGACAAGATAAAGGGTAGGAAGGGCAATGGGGTGGAGAGAAAGCTATACATTTCTGTTTTGAGTGCAGAGATTAAGTGTAGATAAGAGGTGATTTTATGTTCTAGAAAGTAGAGTTTTTTATCAAGCATAATCTTCAATGTTGTGTGTATAAAGAAATTATAACCATTTGTCCTCTCACCAGTATTTTTTGAGCAAGGTAGGCCTTGAGACAGGTAGGAGTAGAACCGTATCAGTAACTGTATGACACTGAAAATACATAACATATGCAATAAACTTTTGCTGAATTTTATCTCTACTACACACATTTTATAAACATTTCACCATAACAAAGTGTATATTCATATTTTTATTACTGGACAAATGAATGCACATCTTTCACTTGGGCTTCACATACCAGAGGATGCATTTCTGAATTTGAAGGGATTTAAGCTGGGGATATCAGCTTCATAGGCCAGGAGTGATGGGACATTCTCCAGTAATGGGTCTGTGAAACCCATTTTACCCCCATTGTCCTGTATTTTTCTACATTTTAGGTATGGATTCTTTTCATAATAAAGAACAAGAAACTAAAAAATTAAAAAGTTAGCTTGGAATGTTATTTTCTTCTACGAGCTTTTAAATGCCCAATCTATTTTGTTTTCTATCAAATAATTACAAGTATATACTAGGCTTCAATTTCATATCCCTGGTCTGTAATCAGGAGAGAAAAAAAAAAAAAACAAAAACGAGGAGGAAAAGTCAGGAGAAAGGTGAAGAGCAAGAACTAGGACAAAGGGGGAACTCAGCAAAGGAGGATTAGCTTGTAGGTAATTTCCCCAGGACGACTGCCTGGCCTCCCGTTTTTTCCACAGCTTCTCTTGCCCTTTAGAACATTTTCCCAATAGAAGTCGAGGGAGGAGGGAAGTTTCTTGTTAAACTCCTGTCCATCTTCTTGTTTAACACTTAACAGCCTGCAGATTAAAATCCCATTTTTTAACATGGCTCAGTTTGCTACCTTTCGGCGGCTTCTCCTACCTCGGCCGCCCCCTTTTAAGCACTTTAAGAGCGGAGCCTCGCTTTTTCTTGCTTTTATGGGCTGGTTTCTGGCGCAAGAACTAGCTACCCCCCCCCCCCCAAGTTTTCCTCGTTTTTTTCTTCCTGGGCCTCCACTTCCCATTTTTCTCCTCTGTCTAGTTCATTCCTGCGGAGCATTTACTTCTATGATTAAACATTCAGTCGCGTGCATTCATATCTATTATCCAAAAGTCGGGTCCTCATCCCTGTAGGTAGTCGGGCATAATGGGTCTGGTTCCTGAAAGGTTCCAAACTCCTGGCACTGTGCCCGGCACACAGTAAGCGCCTGCTGGTCACGATGTTTGGGTCAGTAAGAACGTAAGTCAACGCAAGCAGTGACTGAGTATGGAGAAAGTCCCCAACGAAATGAAAAAGGATCATAATGTCGTTATGGGTACTGAGGCCCAGGTCGCCAGACACTGCTCCCACAGGAATGCAGTACCACCGCCCAAATCCTAGTTAGCAATAACCCAGACGCTCCCTTAGGCGGCGCTCCAGGCCATAGCAGCCGAGTTCAGCGCAGGGCATTACGGGACCTGTAGTTTCCGGGAGGCGTATTCCCAAGGCGCTTGCGCACCGGAGGAACGCGCGCCGCCCAACCCCCCACCAGGATTTCGGGTCTTTTTAAAGCGCGGTCAAGGGGACAGAGTTCCAACCCAAAACGACTCTTTAGTCCATCCGGATGAACCATGTCAGGCAAAGAATCTGCTCTGCGTGGGCTATTGCGGTGCCCTAAAAAGCGGCCGGAATAAGCATACCCCCACTCCGGAAGTGAGCGGCCTCTGGCGCGGTGCATTGTGGGGGGCGTAGTCCTCCTTCCCAGGCGGTCCTTCACGGCGTCCCCGGGGCCGACTCCCGAGCGCAGGCGGGCGGCCTGGCTGGCTGCGCGGCGCGGGCCGGCGGGAAGCTTATTCTGGGCACGGGGCTCCAGGTCAGGCTGCTGCGCCGGGCGAAACTAGTGGTAAGCCGCTAAGGCCTCGTGCGGCGCCTCCCGTCGAGGGGCGAGCGGACGGCGGTGGACGACCGGGCCGTCGAAGGGCTCAGGAGGCGGGTGGGCCGGGCCGCGCGGCGCAGCCATGCCTGGCTTTACGTGCTGCGTGCCGGGCTGCTACAACAACTCGCATCGGGACAAGGCGCTGCACTTCTACACGTTTCCCAAGGACGCTGAGTTGCGGCGCCTCTGGCTGAAGAATGTGTCTCGCGCTGGCGTCAGTGGATGCTTCTCCACCTTCCAGCCCACCACGGGTCACCGTCTCTGCAGCGTACACTTCCAGGGCGGCCGCAAGACCTACGCGGTGCGCGTCCCTACCATCTTTCCGCTGCGCGGCGTTAATGAGCGTAAGGTAGCGCGCAGACCCGCTGGGGCCGCAGCCGCCCGCCGCAGGCAGCGGCAGCAGCGACAACAGCAGCAGCAACAACAGCAGCAGCCGCCGCCGCCGCCTCCGCCTCAGTCAGCCTCCACTGCCCAGACCGCCCAGCTCGCCCAGCTGCAGCCGAATCTGGTGTCTGCGTCTGCGGCTGTGCTCCTCACGCTTCAGGCCGCTGTAGACAGCAGCCAGGCTCCTGGATCCGTACCGCCGGCGCCTACTACTCCCACCGGAGAAGATGTGAAGCCCATCGATCTGACGGTGCAAGTGGAATTCGCGGCCGCAGAGGGTGCAGCCGCCGCAGCCGCCGCGTCGGAGCTAGAGGCTGCCACCGCAGGGCTGGAGGCCGCCGAGTGCCCTATGGGCCCCCAGTTGGTGGTAGTCGGGGAAGAGGGCTTCCCTGATAGTGGTTCCGACCACTCGTACTCGTTGTCGTCAGGCACCACGGAGGAGGAGCTCCTGCGCAAGCTGAACGAGCAGCGGGACATCCTGGCACTGATGGAGGTGAAAATGAAGGAGATGAAGGGCAGCATCCGCCACCTGCGTCTCACCGAGGCCAAGCTGCGGGAAGAGCTCCGCGAGAAAGATCGACTGCTGGCCATGGCCGTCATCCGTAAGAAGCACGGAATGTGAACAGGTTCTCCTGTGGCCTGTGGGAATCGCCGGCCCCTGCCAATCTAGGAAGCCTGCAGGCCGCTTTTGCTAACTACCCTATTCTCCTGGAACACTGGTTGACTGTACTGAGGCTTTAGGGCAGCTGGACTGTTGCTGGTTATCTGGCACCCTCATTTACTCCTGATGTCTGGAACCTCGGACTCTGCACTGGTGACACCAGCAGTTATGACTTTGTCTGCTCCCTCACCTCATCCCCAGTGTATCTTGCAGGTTCTGGTTAAGCAGAGGCTTAGGAACCGCTGAACTTGAAACTTATCCTCCAGGGCTGCAGGTGGGATGCCCAAGGACTGTGGGTTTGGGAAGACAACACCTTGACATTGGCCAGCAATCACTGTGGACATTCTTCTGTGTGTAGTGATAAGGGAGCCAAGTGACATCAGTTCTCCTTTTCATGCTTTTCTCCCCCAGGTGCAGCCTGTGATTCTGATGGGGACTGGCAGATCTGTGCCTCTGCCTCCTAGGACCTCCCTCCCCAGGAGGTCACCTACAAAGGGATTGAGGTGACATGCTGATGGAAATCCAGCTTGCCAGGGACTTAGGTTTATCTTGTTATGTTTGCTACTGGTTACAAATTCTATTTTCTGTACAATTAGTTAGACTAAAGTTTTCACTGTGTTTGTTTGGCAAATGAATTAAACAGAAAGTAAGGTTTTTATTTGGGTTTCGCCATTTTATTTTCATGAGGACTCAGCTAAGTGGCCCTGAAACATGGGGGAATAGGCCTCAAGACCTTAGTTCACAAGGACCAGGCTCACCCTAGGAGCAGATACGGTCTCTCCATAAAGTAGTTCTGAGCACATGGACCCTGGCCTCTTAAAGTCTTCACAGATTTTCTGGTTCAGCTCTTGCCAGTTTGGAAACCAAACTGTCCTAGTTTGTCCATGGGTTAGCAGCCTGTGTCCTTTCAACAGGGAGAAGGAGCATCTGAGAACTAAACTGAATTGTGACAGCCTACTTCTCTCATGAGTTTTCAGCTCACCATTATAGCTCTTAGCCTAGAACAGTGCTTGACTCACTTGGGTGTGCAATTACTCAAATCAGTGAAGACCGCAGCTGGAACCAGCCATGGCTCCTGCAGGCACAAGGACTCTTGTATAAATACTTTTGGCCTTGGTACTCTTCAGTATGAAGGAGCTAGCTCCATGGGCTTGTAGGATTCGGGATTTGTGGCCCTTTGACTTATTTTCTAGGTTGCTTAAGATTTTTAAAAAGATTTTATTTTAGACAAAGAGAAGGAGAGAAGCATCAATATGTGGTTGCCTCTTGTGTGCCCCACACTGGGGACCTGACCTGGACCACAACACAGGAATGTGCCCTGACTGGGAATCAAATCGGTGACCATTTGGTTTGCAGGCTGGCACTCAGTACATTGAGCCACACCAGCCAGGATTGCTTCCATCTTTCTTTAAATTGGATGTTGTAGGGATGAGATGACATTTTTGTCTATAGCTCCAAGTAATTTTGCTCATCCAGTGGGGAGAAGCAAAGGCCTATAATGCTACCCCTGTTTACAATGGGTGTTGGGCGCAAATGGACAATTCTTGGGCTCCAGAAAACATTATTCCCTTATCTGTTACTTCAGGAAAAAGCCACTTGCCTGGAGACCTTCCCTGTGGCCGGGAACTAAAAGGACTCTAAACTGTTTCTCAGTCTGTGCTCTCTTCCTTTGCACTGACTTGAGAAACAAGTCTGTTGGGGAAGAGGAGTGGGGCATAGGTTGTGAGGGTGCCTGATTGGGGAAGAGACTGGATCTCTGCCTTTCTAGGGTTCTCTGTTCTTCTGAGCCAGCTGGGACTGAAGCCCTTTGCCAACAGGTATCGGGCCAGTCTCTTGCATGTCCCCACTTTCCTTCACTAGGAATGAGGGCTTTACCAGGCTTGGGCCATGCTCTTTAGTGTCCTTTTAGTTCCAGTTTGTCAAAGGGACCTTAACACTTGCCTTGGCCACGTGAACCTCTCAGCAGCACTCCCAGGAAAATTGTGAGAGCCCTCTCTGACCAGGAATTCAGTGTCCAGAGGGAGATTATGTGTACATAACCTAACCAGTGTTTTTGTTTCTTGTGGGAACGGCTGCTCAGAGCTAGAGAGATCCCAGATGTACCACAAACAGGGCAATGGAGAGTTCTCACTGGCTGGGTAATAAAAGCATGAGACGAAGCAGTACAAGCGTGGGATTCAATAAGCTAGGCCTGGTCTTACCAGCCATCCCTAGGAGGGTGGGGTGGGGTTGGTGAAGGTGCAAAACTCTTTTGGTACAACAGGAGGACTGAGAGATCTCTGGCCAGGAGGGAAAGCATGGAACTGCCAGAATCCTTGTAAAAGCTGCTTACCTGTGTCGTTACACCCCCATCCCCTCCCCGTTTAGCTGTAGGGCATTTCCACCAACTGACCTGACCTAGAGGCAGGCCTTCAATGTTTGCGTTGCTCAGGAAACAACTAAAATGGGCGTTGAAAGCAAAGGGCAGGCTGGTTATTTAAATCACGGAGAACCTTTGGATGAGTCAGTTACTTCTCTTTCCTTGTCAGTAAAAATGAACATCTTAGGAGGATGTCTAGGAGACTTCAATTGTACAAGTCTAAGAGAAATTTGTCTTCAGCCGAACCCCATTTGAGGTTCCACAGCCCCAGGAAAGCCTTGCCCGCTTGCAATCCGCTTTGGGCCAGAATGGCGGTGTGGGGGGCGCAAGAACATTGGGACAGCAGGAATCCCGAGCTGGTCTTGAGCACCTCTCGGAAAGAGCCGAAGGGGCGACCCGAGCATCAAAGAGAGGGGGTTCGCGAGCGGAAACACTCCAGGGGCCCTAGGAGGGGCGGCTGGGCAAGCTTGGGGCCAGCCAGGCTAGGATCCCACGGAGGCGGGGCCAACCTCAGAAGGCTGCGCAGGTTGGGTGGGGCCGGCCCAGCTGAGACCTAGCGACAACAGAGTCCTGACCCTCGCCTGGCGCCAACCTCGGGTGTTCCAGAGGCTTCCGCTAGACCACAATTCTCAGGGGCCCGCGGCGGCAGCCTCCCTCCTAGTTTAGTCTCTCCTCCCGCCCGGGGGGCTGTGTCTGGGCCTCGGCGCGCAGCACGCTGGGAATCGTAGTTTTCTCCGGGAGGCCCTATGCCAGGAAGGAGCGCGGGGGGACTGCGTTTCCCAGAGTGCAGTGGGGTGGCGAGGGAAGGCAGGGGGAAAGGGACAGTCGGTCGCAGACCGCGCTGGGTTGCCGCCGCCGCTGCCGCCATCGTGCCAGCCCCTCGGGTGAGTGTTGGGTGTAGAGCACCGAGGCGGGGGCTGGGACGCAGGAGCCGCTCTCCCAGCTGCCTGGAGCCTCCACTGCGAGTCCCTGGGCGGCCCCTCCCCTCCCCCCTCCCCCCGCCGGCGGCCCTAAGCCGCGCGGGGCCAGGGCCATGTGTCGCGCGCGGCTCCGCCTCCCGCCGGTCCTCTTGAGGCGGTGGCTGGGGGGAAGCAGAGAGACAGCCAGGCGTCTGTCCGGGTCTTATTGTGCACATAGTGGGTGCATCGGACTGCGCTAGGATCGGCCTTTTTCTGTTGTCCAGACCATTCGGATGGGGCTCTCCGGTCCCCGCCCGGTCTGGCCTAATCCGGCCAGAGTCCCGCCTGAGTCCCGCAAGCTCTGCAGGCAGGCCAGTGGGGTCTACCCCATCCTTACGTCCTGCTACCTGCCTGCGAAGGATCCGGGGGCCCCCCGGCTCACTCCGGAATCAGCATTGGGTAAGGGCGCCTACCTGTTTGAGCCCGGGGTTAGGGCTCTTAACCGGTTCCCGACCATAGCCTGGCTAGGATGTAGGTGAACGTTCCTGTGTTGTCTGCCCGCTGGGAGTGAACAAAGCCTTTACCCTCCTCTCCCAACTCTGTGGAACGCATGTGTAAGTTCTCCTGCATGGAGGGGAGGGGGTTCGACATGGGATTTTAAACCCCGATCAGCCTTGGAGTTGGAGGATCTGGCCTGATGTGATGAGGCAGCTCCAGGCTGGATGGCTCAGTCCCCGCCCTTCTGCCTCTCAGTGACGAGCCTGGCCCCAGCTGTGGTGGGTTGGCCCGCCCTGTTAGTGGAGGAAGGAAGCCAAGGAGGTGAAGTTGGATGTCTGAGCCTACAACACAGTTAGACCACCCCAGCACACCTTAATCCTCGTATTTGCCTCTCCCAGGGTCATCTGTCTTCCTCCCAAAGAGAAGGGTGATTCCACAGGAATGGTGGTGATAAGGTGTGATTCAGTGGAGAGGGAAGTAGCATCCAGTCCTGAGATTCATGAATCCAATGCCAAACAAGAGGCCGGGCTGGTAACAACATTTGGGGTCAAGCACATTTGGGCTGTGGTACTCCAATTCAGACTCTCTGGGGCCTTCTGAAGCCCAGGTAGAATTAGAGCGGAAAGCTGCAGAAGGTCAGGCTTCCCTCACTTGCTTGTTCATTTCCCTACAGTTGGAGTAGTCTGTGAACAGGTAGTAAGTTGGGTGGGCCTTGGGAAATTGCTCTTAATAATGACTCCAGTGACCCCATTGAATTTTGGGAGAAATGGCTTGTCTAGCCATAGAGTAGTCATCTGACAAGCTTTGTAAAGGCACGTTTGATTGGGTGATATAAGGGACCGGGCCAGAGAATTCCATGGGATTTTTGGGAGAGACAGCTTGTCAAACCTTGATTCCTCTGAGCCAGTATGGCTTCTGAGCCACAGCTCTTGCAGGGAATATAAAAGCAGCTCAGTCTCTGCAGACCTGGCCTCAGTAGCAAGCAAGTCTCTTAAAGGAGTTCAGTTAGGCCCATGGTGCAAAAAGTCTTCACCTCTGGATTACCACTTCCTCTCCCCCTGCTTGTGTATCTTTACTGATCATTGGTGTTATCTTTTGTAAAAAGACATATAGTCTTTATTATATATTTTTTCCCATTACCATTTAGTCTCCTTATATGCCTGCTTTCCCCAGCAATCCCCACCCTGATCATTGGGTTTTAGCCTTGGAAGTTTTCCTGCAGTTGAATTGCTCTGCCTACCTAATCATTCTCCCTGGTTAGGGAGGGTAGGTAAGGGTTAGGGTTCTTTCTAAACTCAGCCCTCCTAGTCCACATCTCAGCACATGAGCACATGGAAGTCAGATTTATTCAGCAGGCCTGATTTGCCAGCGGAGGTAGGCAACAAGGAGGGACTCCTCGCAAAATGGATACAGGATCAGTGTGGTGGAGTCTTAACACTAAAACCAGTTTCATGACCCTGTCTGGATCATCTGGATTAGTTCTTTCTAGGACACAGATTTCAGGTGAGCTAGGCTTAAGGCTGTGGATTAGTTTTGCACATTCCAAGGCCCTGGGTGGCTTGATCGGTAGGGTTTTCTGCAAGGTCAAAAAGATACTGTTCCTTCCTCAAGGTTACACAGGAATAGGAGAAATTCCATTCCCTCCCTCTTCATTCCAGTCCTGTAACTTCTATGTCTGGAGTCAGTGAGGCATTGCTAGGCATCTGGACCCCCCAGAAGTCCTTGATCTTTCTGGAACTTGGCAAGCCATGTGAGTTTCAGAGATAAGAGAACCATGAGGTTCTCCAGAACCATTCTGCACCTTCTGTTCTTGTCGGGCTGACTTGGAAAGTGGGCCTTGGCACAGGGCAGTTGGGATGTGGCTACATAAGCGTGGGGGCAGGGTGTGGGGATGACTGGGTTCTCAACCAGCTCAAAACCAGGTTCTTTAGTGACCTGGAGCCCCCCTCTCCACTCTGAGCCATGACTAACTTTATTCTGTTGGCTTTAGAGTTGGTGGGTTGGGATGGGATGAATAATATAAGAGATGGAGAATTCTCAAATCTTAGAACCAGAAGGCACCTTATATCAAAAAGTTCCTAGGGAACTTTTTTCCCTCAGTACGGAATACTGAGGCATTAGTGTATTCTTTGAAAAGATTTTTTTCCTCCTTTCTCACCAGTGATCAGTTTTATTCAGCAACCATTCTTTGGGCCCTTTCTGTGTGTCAGGCTCTGGGCTAAGGCTGGAAGTAAAAAATGAATCCTGTCCAGTCCTGGTGCTGGGGAAAGGAGGTCACGGTAGTAGGGGGAACAGGTAAAGTTGCTATTATGGGCTATATAGCTAAGTTGAAAGGACCTACAGCTACTCTTGGCTCTACACAGAAGAGGGGACTTCTGAACGATGAGAGCACCAAAGAGGAAAAGCTGTGGGCGAGCCTACTCTCCTCTTCTGTACACAGAGCAAGGTGTACCTCCAGACGGCGGGCCCAGGAAAGTCTGGGGCCCCTTGAGCGAGGCTCTCATTAATTGCTATGGCTGTCGAATCTAGCTGCTGTCTTCTGTAGCCTGCTCTTTCTCCATCCTTCAGAGATCTCTGCCGGGTATTCTCCCAGTGCCTGGGAATCTCACCAGCATTTTGCGGTCTTTGGCCTTCCTATTATTCCGTGCCTGGAGACTGAGTTTGTGGCTTCTGCCCCTTTAACTGAGACCTCAGGTCACTTTTTTTCTTTTTTCTTTTAATCGAGATTCCCTCTGTCTTTTGGTAGTTTGACCCTTTGGTGTCTCGTTGTCAGTCTTTGACTTTATCCTGTTGGAGTTCTTTGTGCTTTTCTGATGTGTAGATCAATAAATTTGAGATTTTGGCTATTTCCTTAATTACTCTTTCTATCTTACTGTCTCAATCCTCTCCATCTGGGACTCCCTACATGTGTATGCTGGTATTCTGATGGTATCCTAGAAGTCTCTAGGATTGTTCATTTTCCTTTTTTTAAATTATACTTTACTGATTATGCTATTTTTAAAGAGCCTCTCACACATCCCCAACTGGGGACCTGGCCCGCAACCCAGACGTATGCCCTGACCAGGAGGCAAACTGGCAACCTTTCAGTTAGCTAGCTGGTTGACAGTCCACTGAGCCACACCCTCCAGAGCCCTGCCCAGTACTCCTAGAGTGGTACCTGTAGGATATCTTCCCAGAGTGAAAGAGAGAGCCACCCTCCCCAGGATGAAAGGGAATAGTCCTTTGAGAGAGAGAGGGGTGCATCTGAAAAGTTTCCCGCAGGACAGACATTGAAATGAAAGGTGGGTAGAATTTCTGTATTCTGTAGGCTGGGGTTTAGCTGAATCTCTCATTTTTTTTCTTGTTACTTTTCTTCTGGTGGGCCATTGAGGATGTTTGTGTGTTTTAAATTGATTTTGTGTGAGCCACCCCTTCCCCGGCATTGAAATTCAGTGATTCTCTTGCTCTGACCGTCGTGGCAGGAACTCATGACTCCCTCCCTGAGGGAAGCGAGCAGCATGTCCAGGCCTGTGTGATACTCTGGTCAGCACCCTGATGCCTTCCCTTTTCTCACCCTATCAGCTGGAATGTGTCTTCCTGGAAAGAACCCTTTGTTCAGGTCTGGCTGTGACTAGGGAAGTGTCTTAGTGGCCAGGGAAGAGGGAGAGGGACACAAAAGGCCTAAGGGTGCCCCACCCTGCTGGCCCCAAGGCTCCCATCACTGACTGTTGGGGAACTTGCTGTGGCTGCCCTGAGCCTTACTCCTTATTTGTTGCTGGTCCCTGCTCTGTCCCGGCTCCTGAAGCTCAGGCTGGAGAGAAACTTCCCTGAGGAGAGGGCTGTTTCTAAGGTGCTAGGGAATTGAGGGCTGTTTGCTTCAGTAAGTGGGGAATTCTGGAATGTTTCTTCCTTATAGCCTTAGATAGGCCATCAGAGCCTCTGGGCAGAAACTGCTCCCCCCAGAAGTGTGTAGAGACGTCATTTCCACTTGCAGAGGCAGATTCAGGCTCAAGGGGATGCAAGTTCTATTTTCCCTATGGCATAAAACTGACCAGCTAAGCATGTACTCAGGAGCTTTGTGTCCTGAGGGTTGTGGGGCTTATTTCAGAGAAGAAAAGGTCTGGGCTCTGTCCTTCACCATCTCATCTTGCCACCTGTATGCTTCTTGCTCTTTGAAGTTGGCTCTCAGCTGTTCCAGTCCAAGCCAATTTTGTGGACATTTTAATGCTGGCTATGCCAGTGGCCTTGTGTAGCATTGAATTTTTTCTTAACCTTTTGGTTTCCTTATCCACAAAGTGGTACTAAGCATACCTACTCTACAGGGTTGTGGGACTCAGACAGTGAAACACACACAAGTGCCCCTGGCTGGAGTGGCTCAGTGGGTTGAGCACCGGCCTGCAAACTGAAAGGTCGTCAGTCCTGTTCCCAGTCTGGGCACATGCCTGGGCTGTGGCCCAGGTCCCTGGTTGGGAGCTTGCGAGAGGCAGCCAGTGGTTGTTTCTCTCCTCCTTTTTCTTCCTCCCTCCCCTTCTCTCTGAAAAGTAAATAAAATTTAAGAAAAAGGAAAGGAACACAACTGCTTGGCTAACAGGAGGCATTCCCTCCCCCGCTCCGGGAACTCCACCTCCATCCCTTTATTAGCCTGCTTGTCTCAGTCACAGAGTGTCACAGTGGTATTGGCCAGGCATGGTGGGGGCAAGCAGAGGATGGGGTGGTCACTTAAGGGCTTCAGACCACATTGGGGGAGCCAAGTCTGTGTGTACCTAACCAGCAAGTTCATAGGTGGGAGTTGGCTGGGCCCCAGAGATCTGAGCCACCTGGGAAAGGAAGGCTACTCGGGGACTGAGTACAGAGCAGAGATAAGAATGTGGGTCTCAGAATTTAGCTTCTGGGCCAGCCAGGGCAGCCCCAGGCAGCCCTCCCCAGGCAGAAGTGGGAAAGGCCACTGAAGTCCTGGAGGCACCCTAGGCTGAAGCGGGAAA